ACTATATGTAATTGAAATAATTCGATATGTAACATTGTGAAATAGCATGTTGAGCTGACTACTCAGCATATTTAATGTAATAAGAATGTATGTAATCATTTCATGCAACTGTTCCACAACTTCACGTGTCACGGAGTTAAATGTTTTTTACCGTGTTTCATAATAAGTTTAATATGTTTTAAGACATTAGGTTTTGTTTTTTTTTATACAGGTTTTAATTTCTATCAATAAATACGTAAATGACGGATACAAGGTGCAACCTTGGCAATGAATGCTATATTGTTGGTGACCTTAACTAAAGTTATAACATATGATATAATATTTGAAAGAAGTTCTGCTCGACCGAAGTTATTTTGTTTTTAATACAATTAAGTTATGATGAAATGAACTTCAGCAAAAGTTTGATGTTTTAATTTTAAAAAATTACCAAGAAATTTGTTTATGATTCTCTTTTTCAATACAAATTTTGTTCACTACCAGAATTGCTGGTATTATTGTTTGTTCTACGTTTGCTGATATTTTAATAAATGTTTTTCTGCATAAATGTACCATCTACACTCCTGATCAGCTATTTTCATGAGCTGTTTTTATGCTGCTTCTAAATGTTTCTCGTTTTCTATCTCATATTTTTGATAAATTTGCAAATTTTATCATTTGAATATACATTGCAAAGCAAATTTTAATAAAAACAAGGTTTGACAAACGAACGAACGAACAAAAACAAACGAACACAAACGAACGAAGACTCATATGTCTGAAGCCACGTGTTTATTCATTAACGTTAGAACAATCGAACAATAACTCCTTCCTTCTTCGCCCATTGTGCTATTTTGCGTGCGCGCAAACAAAACGTTTTGCATGTTTGAGCTCGAAAAATGTAAAAACTATAGAAACTGGCAAATATTAAGAACTCACATGTTTATTCAAAAGAGTTCGCGTGAACTGTCGTGTGAAATTATTTTTTTTAATTTTTCGTTTGAGATAGAACATAATACTTTAAACAAAGAAGCTTTTCCTTCTGAGTTATTTTTTAAGAAAAAATTTAATACTTGTCTAACAGTGTTTCTAATTTTATTCTAAATTTATAATGCTGGTATATTTTTTGGTGTTCTGCTCAGCAGCTCTAAAATGCAGCTAAAACCTTAGAACTGCTGATGAGTCAGATGATGTTAAACGATGGCGATGTGCGTGCACGACTGCTATCGTTACTGTAATTTGCACATGAACATTATTTAAATTTTTCAACATTTGTAAAATTATTTTTTTGTGGCATGTAACTAAATATTTTTTGTAATTTCCATCTAAGAGTTTTTTTTATTTATGGAAAAATTTTGTGTTTTAGTTCACCTGTTTTTTATTTTTCACGCCAAAAACATTTTTAAATTCGCAGTAAGTTTGAGGGAGTTAATTTTGTTATTGAACCAGATAAGTGCTGGCGTTTGGTGAAATTGTTTTGTTGAAAATAGGTATAGTGACAAAGATGAAGAGACGATGAATGTGACTGGAAAGACGTTTAAAAGATGACAACTTGAATTTGTTGTTGATTAATTACAATAGGGCTTAAATTGCAATGTAAAATGTAAATGGTGGTCTGTATGGAGATTATTTAATTGCAATTGCACTGGACTGAATGTGGTTAGGACTAAAATAATCAAAGTAAATATATATAAAAAACTTATTAAAACAACTTAGTTATGTAAAAAAAACTGTTTAAGAAAGAGTTTTAAAGAGTAAATTCGATATAATAATTGAAGCGATGGTTGTTTTATAAAGTGAATTCAGAATGTTTTACTTATATCCATGTAATATTTATTATTAATGATAAAAAATGAAGTGAAAAAAATAACAATTGGATATCTGAAATAAATATGACGCATTTGATGATTAAGGTGATAAAGATGAAGATTAAGATGATGATTAGAACGATGATTGAGACGATGACAAACAATGTAACAGCTGTTAGGACAACATTTTTTACTTTCTTACTGAAAATTTGAAATTGAATGAGGACGAGGAGAGTTTTAAACGTAGAGTTTTCAATCATTTTTTTCTTATTCTTCCACTTTTAATTATTTTTTTTGTTGAGTAAATTCGAAGCCATTGTTATTTTTGTGGCTGCTGTTGAGGAAAGTGGTGGGGTTTCATCAAACAAAATTGGTGGCTTTTGTTGGGGTGAACACTGAATGAAGCGTAAAATCTTGTCATTTAACAAATAACAATTAGTAATAACATTATAATAGCAACTAAAAAGTTTATTTAAAGTACGAACAACCCTTTTTAAAATGCAACAAATGCGTGAAACTTCCAAACCAAGAATGATTAAAATGTTTGTTGCATGCCTAAATTTGAAATTTCCACGAACTGAAAAAATATCGTGCACCTAAATAAACCAGAAGAGAATGCAAAGTGACGTCAACTCCGATAATCCCATGCTAAGACCAATGAGCAAATAATTGATGATCATAAAAAGTGCTACATTTTTAAACGCGCATGCGCCGGCAAATGTTGAAGGGTAATATGTACTTGGTGTTAGAACTCAACTCAATAATAAAAACAATTAAATGTTGAATTAAATTTCTAGACAATATTAATTCTCTAAAACTATTGAACATTGGACATACTAAGGTTTATAAATTTTGTACAGCGCCTTGTCGTACACACATGTCGTACACACATTTCTTATTTCTGGTTGATCGAAAAATCCTGCGATCGCACATATGAGATATGGATACACATAAAAAAGAAACACTCATACATATATATTTATGAAAGACACACACATTACACCACCCACAAACACACACACACACACACAAACAGCACACACACACAAACAACACACAAAAGAAACACATACTTCTACGTTGGAGTGACGTTGGGTTGATGGATGGACTTGGATAAGAAGGTGTACAATAGTAATTTGTTGTTGCTTGTGCATGTGTGAATTGCAACTTTGCACTGCAGATATGTCATTACAGCCCTCTGCTGCCGGGTTTTTTTGAAGAAAAAAAAATTCTACGATGATGTTTTGTTTTGCGGGCAAATTTCAAACACAAAACGAGAAAAAATTTCGTTTTCTCATGTAAGTTCTTCACATTTTAGCTATAAAAATCTACTTTACATCAAAGTTTGCCCTTAGACCTAACTTCTTATCTTCTTAATTATTAATCAGACTATCACCTTTCCACATATGATCTCTGACCTTTCATTAATAATATTTTTTTTATTTGACCCGCAAATTATTGTCAAACTTAAGTCGTACTAAACTTTGCAATATTTTAAAACACTCATGAAAACACAAAATTATGATGATTTGAAATCATTTTTTGTATTCAATATTTTCTGTAACTTCGACTTTTGTGTTTAAATCTGAAAAACTCTTTGAAGAAAAAGACAGTTGATAATTGAAAAAAGTTGAATAGAAGTATATGTGTTTGTATAATTGTATATATATATATATATATATATCTAATATATCCCATGATAATATATGTGTATATACATAGAGGGCTAAGAATATTTTTTTCAAATATAGGAAAGAAAGTCAGTGATAGTTAATCACGAGATGTAGCGTGTAATGGAAGACTTACAATTAACTGCATTTATATCAATGCATAATGTATAATGTTGCTTTGATGGTTGGCCGCCCCTTAGCTGCTCAGTGCTTCCAACATGTATCCATCTACGTTAATAATGAATTGGAAAAAACATTCAGACGAATGAACAAATGATCATAGAAACGTTAAAATAAATAATAAGGAGATTCATGAAAAATAAATACAGCTCGAATAGTTGAATAATAATTATCAGTTTGAAATTGTTAAATTTTTGTGAAAAAATATTGACGACTTTTTGTTTTGCTTTTAAAAAATTATGATTATTAAAATTTAAAACTAGATGAAATGTAACTGCAGTTAGCTCTGGACCGATTTTTTTATAAAATAGTTTACAATTTAGTTACAGTTACTTCTTTAGAATTATTTCTACTAGTGCTGTAAACTCTAATTTTTAATTTGTACGTGTCACAACTTGGCTGCTACTAAAAGTTTCAAAGCAAATAAAAATTAATTTTTCCACGAAAACACAAACACAGCCACTTGTGTTTTCGTATTTTCAATTTTCATTAATTTTCACACACTACACACACACTCACACACACTCACACACACACACACACACACACACACACACACACACACACACACACACACACACACACACACACACACACACACACACACACACACACACACACTCACACACACACACCACACACACTCACAAACACACACACACTTACACACACACACACACATTACACACATACACACACACTTAACTAAATGCATTTCACAGGAGCGAGCACAAAAATTTATATCCAAACAAATTAATGTGCGCATAGAAAAGTTGATGATAAATGATATATATTTGGCAAGAGGACCATAATCTCGTGACGATGTTGCGACAAATCTTCTACATCCTGTTGCTCTCTTCAATGTGGTGGTGGTGGTGATCGCCACTTTCGTTGCTGCTTGTTTGTTTGAGCTGTCGAGGGAACAAGAACAATTTCAAACGTTGATTCATTCCACCTAACGTTTGTTCTTAATTGTTCATTTGGTTTTTTTTTGCAATGTTTGTTCGTGATGAAAAGTTGCGCGTTTTGAGTTGTGTGTCTTTATATATATGAGTATGTTGCTGCTACATTTGTTGTTGTTTTTTTGTTTCTGATTTACATGCCTAGAAGTTGTTTAAAGTTTTGAAAACTTTGTAGCAACACATTCATCATTCTACTATTTTATTAAGACGAATGTTTATTTTTAGCAAATTTTTAGCTTTTCGCGATTGTCTGATTGAGTGAGATTTGTAATTTGTTAATTTTAACGTTTATGCTTAATATGATGTTGTTGTAACATCGAAGATTCTCACGGAGGAAGTTATTTTGAAAGTTTTGAAATTGCGGCATTACGACGAATTATGAATATGGCATGATAAATGAGATTTTATTTCTGAAGAAAAATTTCAAAAATTTTCTCGTACGCGAATCTCTGCAATAAATTAATCATTAAGGAGCTGATGAGGCCTGCGAGATAAGATGGGAGTGGGTAGTGATGGTTACGACGATGATGACGACGACGATGATGACGATGTTGATGATGATGTTGATGTTGATGATGATGTGAAAGATGATGTTGATGATGATGTGAAAGTTGATGTTGATGATGAAGTTAATGAAGATATTGGCGATGATCATGTTTCTATGTTGATGATGTCCGGTTACAAATGTTTCAAAAGATGTTTAGTTGTATATTTTAAAATGTATAACAGGAAAAGTTTGTCACTTTGGATGGCCCAGTAAAAAAAATGTTAGTACAATCTTTGAAAAGTTTTTTTAATAATTTTAGTCACTCACCACAATTAAACAATTGTCCACCCAACCTATAAGCAACAGGCACAGCAGGCACACACACGCACACAAACACACTTATGCACACACACAAACCCTACACACGCAGTCTCCCAGCAAATACATTCTAGTATGCATATATGCAATGTTTAGAAAGAAAGATATGACAATGTCGCATTCAATAAACAGCAGTCCGTTTGAAGGTAATTTTAAATGATTTGAATGCTAAACTAAGCTAATATGAGTCAGAGCAGGAAAATGTTTTCAAATGATAAATGGCTTGAAAATGTTTTCTCCATAGCCGGATGTTGCTTGTACGTTCATCTGAGGAAGCGCCGCATTCATTCAATGTATTTTAAGGATGGATTAGTAAATTTTTTTTTCCTTGCCTGAAACCTACGTGCGGATTTTTAAACATTAACTTAAAATTTAAAATAAGTTTAACATTTTTGCGTAACTGAAAGGATGGATGACTGTTTTAAAATATGTTGTTAGATTTGATCAGTTTTTCTGGAAAAAAGGTTACAACCCAATTACAACCGCAGCAAGTAAAGCAGTTTTTTTTATAAATATGCAATAAAATTAGTTAACATAATCTTTATCTATTGACCACAAATAAAAAGTTATTGAAAAGTTTAAAGTTTAAAGAATCTTTTGTAGTTAATCGTTTTGGTGGTCACGTGACTGGTAGTTGTTGTGGTCAAGTGACTGGTCGCCCTGGTGGTCACGTGACTGGTTGTTGTGGTGGTCATGTGAGTGGTCGTTGTGGTGGTCATGTGACAGGCAGTTGTAGTGGTCATGTGATTGGTAGTTGTTGTGGTCAAGTGACTGGTCGCCCTGGTGGTCACGTGACTAGTTGTTGTGGTGGTCATGTGAGTGGTCATGTAGTGGTCATGTGATCGGTTGTATGTTGGTTAGTTGATCGATCAGAAATCATCACGTAGTGATTGATAATCCTGATAAAAATATAAGAATGTGAAAAAAGAAAAAGAAAGAGAAAGAAAGAAAGAAAAAAAGGACGAAAGAAAAAAGAGATAAAAGAGAAGTAGAAGATTAAAAGAGGGAATTATGTGATGGAGGGAAGGATGAAGTGTATTTAATTTGAAAATGAATTCAATCCGTGCGTTCATTTTGAAAGATGCGAAATAAATGGATTGACTTTCCAGACTCGCCGACATGTCGTGCACTCTGATGAATTGTATGATGCACGTACGTACGCCAGGCCTTGGCGTACACCACTCTCCATGGCCATCACCAGTGTGAGTGCGTTTTTGCTTTGGCGTGCAGAACATTCTGGTTTACCATACTTGTAATCTAGTGTTTGTAAAAACGTAAAAAATAATCAATCCGAATTGGCTCAGCTGAACGTGTTGCTAAACTTCAAATTTTTATAAGAGTAGAGTTGTGTTATCTAAGATAAAATATAATTTTTACCAACATACTATAAAAATAATATAATTTTTACCAACGTAATACAAATATACAACTGGAAAAAATAAAAACTGAAAAGTAATTTAAAACACCCCCAACAAACAAATATTTTCAGATTAATTATTTAATTCGACTGAATTATGCACTGATCCGGAATATACGGTCACAGAGGACCGATTGATTTAGTGTCTTTGCTGATGTCTTTTTTATGCATATCCGCTTCTAAAGCGCCCATTTCACTATTTAAAGTGATGTATGGCTGCATGCAGGGAAGTTTGTTGTTGCTGCTATGTTTATGTTGTTGTGATGTTGTTGTTGATGTTGTTGTATTTGTTGATGTGCGTTTGTTGATGTTAATGCAACGTTGTTGTTATTTTTGATGTGTTCTTGCAAATGTATGTGGTATCGTTATTTTTATTGACTTGTTGCTAAATGTAATACGTTATTGTTAATATCGAGATTTGACTACCTCTATAATGGTTTTCAAAATATTTTGTTCCAATAGTTTTAAATGTCGTTTTTTTGATGTTATCAAAATTCTAACGAAGTTTTGAATAAGATGTTGCAGTTGAAGTTTTACCAATATCAAGAAGCAGATTCTTTATTTTAATCACTGTCACGTTAATATTTACACCCAAAAGAAACAGTCGGACATGAAATTTTATTAGCACCTGATAGTTGCAGTTTTAATTTTTACACTTCAATTAATATTATTCTCAGTATCATTCTTGACTGAAGCGTTTATAATATTTACTACATATGTAAAAATTAATACTCAATTTATTTGCACACAATTTTCATGAAGCTCTTTACAAGCGCCATAGTAATCTGATAAACTGGGCTCTCCATTTTGAAACATCAGGTTGAACAACCAAACACGACAAAAACTAATTAATAAAAAGAACAGACCTGAGGCACGGAGCATTATTAAGATGCTCAAGTGTTCAGTACACAACCAATGACAGCTCATCTTCTGTATGACGTCATCATCTGACGTCACTCACAATTTTTTTACACGTTGGCGTGAGTGTGATTTATTAATGCCGGAGTAGTAATGGATTAGGCTAGCGTGGTGGCAATATGGAGAAACGGCAGTTTCATTGTTGGGAAGTTCTTTCACTAAACTTTATCTTTTAGTAAGTCTTATTTATGTGTGTGTGTGTATGTGTGTGTACGTGTGTGTCTGTGTGTGTGTTTGTGTGTGTGTGTATGTGTGTGTGTTTGTGTGTGTGTCTGTGTGTGTGTGTTAAATTGTAGATGCGTATTTGTACGAATTTATGTTCATACGAATAGCATAAAATACATACCAACAGAAATGAAAAAAATGTAGTTCATGTTTAAAAAAAACTTTACAAATGTTAAATTAACTTCAAGATTTGTGGACTTATTAATTTTGGCAATACAGGTTTAGTTATTTTAGTTTTCATGTGTGCGTGTGCTTGTGTTTGTGCATGTGTTTGTGTGTGCTATTGTATGTCTACGTGTCTCTGTTTGCTTACTCTTGTATAAATTATACAATAGAACAGGTGTTCGTTGAAAAATCCTTTAAAAATTCAAATCTTTCGTTATCACCTTGATCAGTACTGTCGTTCCATGCACATTTACTTTCCCATCTGTCATTATCTTCATCATCACGGATCAGGATTTTAATTTTAATAAACGTACATTATCTTCGTAATCATCGTCGTCATCATCATCTTCACGAACACAGCCATTAAAGCTAATTATGAACATTATTTCCATCATCTACCCATCATCATCATCATTCTCTCCACGTCTTCTGACACGAAAATGTTCATGGTGTGACTTTTTATAAGAATGCATTCATCATTTTCATGTTTGTCTCACTTCCTATAAAATCATCTATCTCATTTTTCTCCCTAACTCTCTTTCGAGGACTTGAGAAGTTTGAATAGAAAAAGTTACTTATTCAAGTAACACCGGCAAGAAAATACTAATATATTACTAAAGAAATTGTTTTAAACTAAAAAGATTTCATTGACACTTCTAACTACTAACTTCATAGGAGTTAGTCGCTACTTGGTGCTAACTTAACTTCACATCCAATATATTAAAGGGTGAATAATTTTTTAACTTAAAATGAACAAAAACACGACAATAGTGATTAAAATAAACCACAATGCTGTCATGAAACATGAGAATTAACACGCAACTGCAACACATTAGCAACAGGTGTTGTAAGATAAAAAAAATAAAAAAAAATATTTTCCGGTGAAATCTTGCACACATAAGTTACCGCAAACTCAGTCATTGTCGTTATCATTACCAATCACTTATCACATCAATCATCTTTTTTTGAAAGTTTATTTTACGGAAAATATATAAATGTTTGTTGTTTCGTTGTCAAAAAACTGGTAATAAACTTTCACTAGTCCACAAATATTTTTTCCTGGATGTTTCTACTTTGTAGATGAATTAATAACTTTATAATTATAACCAATTTTGAAATTCATATTATTTTAATTGTAAAATATATTATAAATAATATTCAAAAATATTAAAATAAATGTACGAATGATTTTGAGTAATTAATAAAACAAAGAATGCAGTCGATTTAAACGCTAAGCAGCAGAATGTACTATGATTGTATTGGTACGACTATACTTAAACAACAGTTTATCATTAAGTACACACCACTGATCATTTGTGTGTTAAAAATGACTTAACACCATAGAAATAAACAAATAATAAAAAAAAGGAAATATTTAAATATGAATTCGTAGAATGTACACAGCCGGAAAGAAAATGGAGTGTTTTTAACCAGCTAAATGTTAAACTGTCATCATGGTGATACAGAGCAATAAGGGGTGAAATACTGTTTGATAATAATTAATTTGAGAAATAACAGCGTATGTTTTTTTGGTTGTTGTTTATCAACTAGGTATAGTAACTTTTTATATATTTTAATAGTCTCTGTCTAAATTCTTCATGATTTTGATGTGAGGTTACGTTGTAGTAGTTGTGGTTAAAAAGTTATAGTAGTAGTAGTCGTAGTAATCGTAGTAGTAGTATTAGTAGAAGTAATAGTAGTAGTAGTAGTAGTAGTAGTAGAGTAATAATATAGTAGTAATAAAATAAGGGTTCTTGTTATAATAAATAATTTTTTTCACTAAACTTTTGAAATAAATTGGAAAAGCAATTGTTGACGCAATTGAATAAGCGTAAAATTGAAAAAAATATCACAGTAGAAACTTTGTTTTTATTAAATTTTAATTTAATTTTTTTTATACACAAAAAATTTATAAAGAACATATCTTGAAGATAACAAACATCATTATAAGACACTCATTTCGGAGCAACATCGCCGTTGCAAGAAAAATTAAACTCGCACAAACACAGACAAGTACACACATAAATACACATTTTTAAAGGCAATTTTTAAAAACACACAGACACACTAACACACACACATTTACACACGCACACACACGAGCCAAGAAATCATTTTAAAATGTTGATCATATGTGTTCGTCAGCATTCAACAGCAATTAACACGATAAAATGATGCGGCCCTATTTAATGAAGTGCCAGTGCATATGTGATGAAGTTTTGTTAGAATGTGATGACAAAAAGTGATAACTATACAATGATGTGAGTGATTTTGTCATGTTCATAATCATCATTCTGAAAGTAAAAAATTATGTCCATGAATTTAGCTTGAATTATGATTATGACAAAGTGGATGGTGATGATGATGGGGATAATGTTCTCAATGATAACAAAAATAAAGATAAAGATTATGGTGAGAATGACATCGGCGATGATGATAAAGATTACGATGATAATATCATTGATAATGATCATATTGTTATATGATTTTTTATTATTTGTCTTTTTTATTTTTTATCTGATGTCCTTAAAATCACGGATTTGTTGAAGGTTCTGTGATATCATCCATCTAGCTATTATGTGTCACATTTAGCCAAAATATCAGTAACATAAAGGCAATATATTCTTTCATATAGCATTGCTCATATACTTCATAATAACTTTTTACTAAGCGTTTATGAAAACGTATCCACATCAAAAAACCTTTAAAATTTCAAAAAAAAACAACAACAACAATAACAACAACAACATAACAACAATAACAACACAGCATCACACAACGTTCTAGAGTGCAATAGCAATTCGAGCAACAAACAAACACTTGCACACACACACTTACACACCCACACACACAAACACACAGCAACACACACACACACACACTGTGATGAAATGATGTGTGCCCCTGTCCATCCATTCTCTATTGGGCTTTTGGGATTGTTAGAATTTCTTTAGTAGCCAATTAAAACAAAACAATGAATTTTATGACTCGCTCGATGAGTTGTTGTTCTCTCTGTTAAAATTCTGTTATTTATATTGTTGTTTGCTGTTGCTGTTGTTCACAATATTGGTGTTGAAATTGTTGTACGTGTTGTTTTTTCGGTTATTTTGATTCAATCACTAACAACAGTAAAAGCAGATAAAAAATATACCATTAAGACAATTTTTTATTAAAATAATTGAAAAAAATGATTGTTTGTAATGACAAAATTAAGATAATGTAATTTTATTTGATAAAAAACCCCAGCTAACAAACGCATACATTTTTGCATACGTGTAGATATATAATTATTAGTTAGATCAATTTTTGAAAGTTTTAAAGCAAAGAGCAATTTTGTTTATTCTTTGTTCTTTATAAATGAGTTTTTTGTTTATGTGTTAGTTATTTTCTTTGTATTGTTGTTTATGAGTTGAATGTTTTGTTGTTCATTTTATTACTTTGTTAATTTAATTTATGGCTTATTTTGTTCAATTTGTTTCCTCTATATGTTCTCTGCAATGTGCTGCGTTTATTCTTTACAAATTCACTTTACTTCTCGGTTTAGTTCCTTTCGTTGTCAGCAAAATGACATTAATAGTGATGTGATTTTAGTTGCTGTGTTTATTGAAGTTGTTGTTGTTGTTGATGTTAAAATTTGTGTTGTTGTTTTGGGCAAAGTTTTGATTGCGCTGTTGGCTTTTTGTAATTGTTAATAATAATGTGACTTTTTTCACGTGAATTGTTTTTTCTTATTAAAAACATATTTCTTTCATTTGCTGTCTAGTAGTAAATTTGCTTGATGTTGCATTTAAAGATTTTTAAGATAGATTAATTTAGTTTATTTTTAGCTTTTACTTTCGGTTGAACAATAGTTTTGGTAATCTAGTTGATATCAGTTTGCCACAAAACTATAACCATTTTTGTTAAAAGTGTTAAAGTGTTAAAATTATCAATGCTTATCTTACATTGTCAAGTGAATCTAACTTAGGAAAAGTTTTTATTTGACTCGATGATATTTTGACGTAGATTTCTACACTAACAGCGTTTCCAGCGTCTGCTCTAAACTACTGAACATAATAATTATGGTAGATACTTTGTCATTTTGTTTTAATTATACTGAAATTAATTTTCATATTTTTATTTTCGGTTATTAAATGTTATCTGGAACATCTTAGCAAACTCACATGCTTCGTTACTAGTGCCACTTGCGTTGAAGACTTTTAATTTCAGACCGCCTGCAATTTGCAATCATTCCAACCACCATTTTGAGAAAATCCAATACACATTTTCTTTTTTAAATAACTAATTGGCATGCAATTTTGATAAGAGCTTTCTTAAATCTTTCAATTCATTTTTATAATTACGATTCATCTAGACACTGCACATCGACATACAATTGTTATCACACGCAAATGCACACAAGCAAATCTTTTTTCATTTTTTCACAATCGCCTCATCAATTGATAAAGCAATTTTAAAACTTAAACGCAAAACTTAAAATAATAAACTTTATGAAACTTTAATTGTAACACACTATAATTAAAAATTAGGATTTAAAAAAAAAATTAATAAAAAACATTGGCTAAAAATAATTTCGATCATTATTAGAAGCGGTTTTCAAATTGAAAAAAATGATGGGA